CCCCTTCTCGATACGCATCACGGTATGTGAGTCGGGCAACGTTTGACACTCACGAAGGAGTGTCGTTCATGAGCAGTTAAAAGAGACTATTACGATCAACTCTTGTTCATGTATCTGATACTTTGACATCGCTTCGTACGGTCTGTATCATCAAAGTTTAAGTGACTTCGAATGTGATTCAACCTATTATTGATTCAATTGTTATTTTGTCATATTTCTCAACAAACGGATTTCGAGAATAATCTTAACTGATTGGACGAGAAGAATATTGACTTTGAATTGGCCAATAAAAGGATGGTGAGTTATCTTAATTTTTTTCTGTGTCTCTATATAGGTAAGTACGTATTCTACAATAGTAAAAAAAAAAAGAAATTGTTGCGCAATTGTTATTCTTTGTATGGTGTTTACTAATGAATCTCAGAGTTTTATTATTACGTGCATCGAAATTATACGACAATATAATAATAAGGAATTAAAGCAAATTTGCGCGGTTTTAAGTTAAAGTGAAAGCTACAATTTAATTGGTTTACCAGTGAAACCATCTTTCAAGTATTATATATATATATATATATATATATATATATATATATGTGTATATGTATATATATGAAATTTTGCAACCGAAAGATCTCTCTGTTCGACTTGGATCTTTCTCGGAGTAAGTAATCTTTAATTATAGCTTTAACAATATTGCATTGGATCGGTGATATTGTTTTTGTTTTTCGAATGATATATTTTTTCTTTTTTTTATTCCTTTTCTCATTTTGGATCGGTGATATCAGAAATTGTTTTTTTTTTTTTCTAATTGTCAACCGAATAATTTTCTATATCTTTAATATTTTTAATATTTCGTCTGAATTTGTTTTAATTCATTTTCTTTATCGTTTGAAAAAAGAATTGAATATAAGAAATTATATAATAATTATAATAATAATAATTATTATTATATCATATAAGTTTATAGTTTATTGTTTTGAATTTTTAATTTGTAAAGAAGGAATAATGTTATGCAACGCTTTTGTCTTTCAATTTGATTTCTATTATATTTTTCATGCTCAATTGATTACTGTACAATTAATATTTATGACATATCTTATAATTCCTGACGAGCATTATGTTAACTTTTGTCAATACAATGCAATACAATAGTTTTATACACACGTTTGATAATTTTTTTTTTTTTGGATAATTGTTTAAACTATCGAATTAATTTAAAAAACTACAGGATGTTCCATAAGAAAAATTAAAAATAATTGAATTTTTGATTCAATTGAAAATCGATTATTTTATTTCGTATTATGGAAATATTTAAAACGAGAGATTGTAAAACTTCGTTTAATTAAATAAATATTTTTATATTAATCGAAGGAATGAAACAAAATATATTATAAAAGTATTTCATATTATGGAAATATTTAAAACGAGAGATTGTAAAACTTCGTTTAATTAAATAAATATTTTTATATTAATCGAAGGAATGAAACAAAATATATTATAAAAGTAAATATATTTCTTATATTTATGCTTTTATACGAGAAAGAGAGAGATAAAGCATGAAATCTATTATTGATAGAAAAAAGAAAAAAAAGATTATTTATCTTTTCAATCGAGATAGTGTCTGCGATAGTGATTCATTTTAAGTCACATAAGGTCGCGTCGAATGGCAATTTATACAAAAAAAAAAAAAAAAAAAAATTAAAGGTAGTCCTAATTAAAGATAAGAGTTAAATTTTTATAAAGATAAAAGATAAGAGACAAGAGATAGGTTTTTATAAATTATTAAAATAATGCATTACCCGTTAAAACGAACGTTTAGACATTTAGGTTCTTAGTATTTTAAATTAATTCATTATTTTTAATTTAGAATTTAATTCAGAATTTTCATATTTGCGTCAATCTAAATATACATACCATTTCGTTATTTATCAAAGAGAAAGAGGGAGAGAGAGAGAGGGGGAGGAAGAGAGAGAGTAAATATTTGTAAAAATTCTTATATATTTCTTTAGTAAAAGAGAAAGTTTAGATATTTTCTTCGTGTTTGCAACTTAGACATCTAGATATAATGATAATATGTCTTAAAAAAACGTTCATGACCTTATCAATAACATGTTTACGCTCTACTCTTTATTTTTTGACTAAAGAGAGACCTTTAAAGTATTTAGTTTTTTTAACTGTATAAGGATCATAAACTCTCATTCCAGATTAAAAAAAAAAAAAAAAAGAAAAAAAAAGTAAAAATAAAAATAAAAAAATATTCAAGAAGTCGTTTAGAATGGATCAAAAAAGTAAAAAGATATTGAAAGTCTTTCAATGGATATATCAGTTCTAAATATAAACGAATAATTTCAACCGGTTAATTTCCCTAATCGATAATTTCATTTCAGTTTGAAAAGCCAAGAAGTACAGTAAGCTGAATGGATACGAATCGCTTACGATTTCATGATTTATCCGCACTATGGATCGTCTTATTTATGTTTATCCTATCTCCGAGCTGTCTAGCATCGTACAGCATCGGAGTTGGCATAGCCGATTCCACCGGACCCGTTGCAGAAGTTGTATTTGTAAGTGTCCATGATTTCTTTAAAAAATATTTATTACATACATAGTTGTTTGTTTCTTTTTTTTTTTTTTTTTTGTAATAATTCTATATAAAAAGATATTTTCGATTTATTTTCTCAGATTTTTTGCTCATAGCTCATTTTTTATGATGACCTCATGCCGTGAATGAAAAGATTCGTTTATTTCATTTAGAAAGTTATTCGTTGGAAATTTTATTAACAATAAAATAATTTTTTACAGAAATGTTAATCGTAAAACTGTATGTAATTCATATGCAATAGTTAAATAAAAAAAAAAATCTATTAGAATAGTTTTTGTTTAATATTCGTTTATTAATGCATTTCAATTGTTTTGTTCAATTCTTATTCTGAACATTTCTCAATCTATTTATGGCTATACATGAAATATGCGACCTATAATATCGTTAGTTTAATTTTCGATTCATTCCTTTGTTTTTTTCTCTCTTTTTTTTTTTCTTTTTTATAGATGGGATATGCAAAGATGGATCAAAAAGGATCAGGAATACATCTTCGAACCTTCTCACGTACGTACATCATCGACGATGGCGAGGAGAGATTTGTTTTCGTCAGTGTTGATAGTTCCATGATTGGAAATGAGGTTCGAAAGGCGGTACGTTCTCAGAAAGATTAATTTTAAAATGACGTTATCTTTGTCAGATTATATTTATATTTAGTTACGAAGGTATAATTCTTTTTCTATTTTAGGTACTGCGTAAACTGAAGCCACTATATGGAAATTTGTATACGGAAAGAAACGTGATGATCAGCAGTACGCATACGCATTCTAGTCCAGGTGGCTTCATGATGGACGTACTCTTTGACCTTACCACGTATGGTTTCGTCAAGGAAAGTTTCAATGCCATTGTAAACGGAATAACAAGAGTATGTGACATTCGTTGATCGTTGAATAAAATCTTTATATTTTAAAATCACGAAGTGTCAATGAACGATCTTGATTTTGATATTGATCTTCAATGAATATTAATTGAATTCGTCAATTTTATACTTACTCGTTAACGATAGAACGATCTTTGAATTATTATTATACGTACGATTTAAATGTACATCTGAAAATATTTGTTAATATATTATTTTTGTTTTTTAATAGAGTATTAAACGTGCTCACGACAATGTTGCACCTGGAAGAATTTTCATCACGCAAGGAGAAATTTTGGACGCCAATATGAACAGAAGTCCATTAGCTTATCTCAATAATCCAAAGGCTGAAAGGGATAAGTAAGTGACAATTTCTTTAACATGAGTTTTATACTGTTAAGACAATGTTTTAAAATTAAAAAAGAAAAAAAGTTGATACTTCAAATAAAAATATTCGTTCAACGTTTGTGAAAGACATTTACATTGTCTTGTATTCTATTAACATTTTATTTGCATATTTTTTAAATGAAAGTATTCGAATAGAATTTTTTATAGTTATCTTCTATAACCATTAGCCTGTTTACAAACCGACATATGATGTCATCAAGACCTTGTGAATTAACGTCTTACATGCACTGCTTTACAGATACGATCATAATGTAGATAAAACAATGACGCAGCTACAGTTTATCGGTGCTGATAACCAAGCGTTGGGTGTCATCAATTGGTTTGCTGTTCATCCAACAAGTATGAACAATACTAATCATTTAGTATCAAGTGATAATGTGGGCTATGCTTCGATACTTTTTGAAAAAATGATGAATAAAAATGCTATGATCGGCAAGGTGAGAAATTTAACATGACTTAGGACTCTTCAAAGATCTTTATAAATCTATATATTGATTTATAAATACCTATAAGTCGTAATTTTATGTAATAATTTTATACAAGTTATCATAATTTTTTATTACAAAAATAAACTCTAATGGAATTTATTTTATTGTAATACAATTTTATTACAATTATTTTCAAATTTTATTGTGATAAAACTGAAAGGAGTTTATTTTTTATTATAATAAAATTATAAGAAGTTAATAATTATAAATTCTTAATTATAAAGATATATATTTATGAGTCAATCTATGATAATAATGATTAGATCAAAATACCTAATTTATAATGGATATAAATATTTTTCTTTATAATATATATCTTATTTACTTATTTAGGGTCCTTTTGTCGCTACGTTCGCTTCTACAAATTTAGGCGATGTTTCACCAAACATTCGCGGTCCAAAGTGCGAATTTTCCGGATTGAATTGTACCGAGCATTACACTTGTCCAGGGAAACAAGAAATGTGTTTTGCTTCAGGACCTGGCAAGGATATGTTCGAGAGTACTAGTATTATAGCAAGAAAAATGTTCAATAAGGCGGCGGTGAGTACTAAATATTTAAATACTAAATCTTTCTCATTATTTTCTTTATAAATTTATTATCTAAATTAATCAATTTCTCGTACCATCTATTTATAATAGAAATAATATTTACTTACGGTAAATTTTATAGTATAGATTTTCAAAATTTATCTCAAGTATCAAGGTTACACCATTTATTGAGCTATCGAATTAATTGATTTTGAATTATTTCAACAATTTTTTTTTAAATAATAAGAATAAAAATCGCTTTTAATGTCTATCTATTGTTTGCTTTATTATTTATCTTAAATGCATCAATTTATTCTAAGTAATTTAACAGGTATTATGTACACATACATATATTATTGAAATCATGAATAATCTTTAATCAATTTCATCGATTCCGAAGTAGACAATCGAAAACCACGTTATATTCATTTAGTAATGCTTCTCATATCCGTATTCAGGGGCAATATACTTGACGAGTGGCGTAGGATGTACAGCTTGTCCGATTTTTTTGACAATAGCGTTGAATCCATTGTGTGGGTCAGATGTATAATCGACCACACGAATTGTACCATCAGGTTCGTTTAAACTGTAAGAACCCTTAACCACATCACCATCACGAACTTCCTCTTGTTTTTTAACGTCACCAGTATGGGGATCATGGACACCATATTTGAAGGAATATTTTGGATAAGCCTGAAGTAAAAAACGAATATTCGAACGTATTAATGTTCATTTTATTTTCATTTTTATTTTATTGTACGAATACTTACATGTCCTTCGTTATGATCGTACGGTCCATAATTTTGTACATAAGTTGGTACACCATAGATCAATTTACTAAGAACAGGAGTGATAACAGATGAGTGTGAGACTGCTGTTTCATATTCTTTATAACCATCGTGTCCTTCATAATTTCCGTATCCTTCATGTCCGTATCTAATCAAAACGGCATCACAATTCATAGCCAATAGAACTAGACCAAGTGCAAAAAACATCTGAAAGGAATGATTAATAAATTAAGATCTTTGTGTATATCATTGGATAATAGTATGTTTATAAATTGAGATATATTCTAAAATTTTGCAATTTGTTGGATGTTTCTAGGAAGATTTCAGAAGATTTAGGAAATCATTAAGAACTATTTAGAAGAATTATTTAAATCTTTGGCATCGGATCTATTCTTTTAATACTCAAAGAACACAATTTTGATAGAAATAAGTTGAATTAAATTGTAAAACTAATAATATAAGAGGAGAAGATATGTCAATGAATATTCGTGAAGGCTTACCATTGATAATATGTTGTTGTTCACTAGTTGATTGTCGAATGGTGAACGATAAATCTGGAACACTGATCAGCTCCTTTATAGTTGGACTTCGTCTGGGCCCCCTAACGGTTTCTCTCAATCTCTTGTAACGACGGTAATTGTATAAGAACCAAGGTCACTCTCTTTTCGTGACATATGTTCCAATTTTTTTTTTTTTTTTTTTTTTTTTTTTTGACAAAACGAAGGTTGCCGAAAGTGTCTTAGAAAGAGAAAAAATTGTAATCACGTTTCTTTTTAGCCTATAAACCTAATACGTAACGTTGAGGTTCGATAAATAAGGAACCAAGATTTCTTTTTTTTTTTGAAAAGGGAAACGCAATAAAAGAATTAGCGAGAGAGAGAGAGAGAGAGAGAGAGAGAGAAAGAGAGAGAGGGAAACGTCCTTAAAACAGGACATTCCCTTCGGTGTACTTTGTATCTCTTAAAGGGAATGTTCGAAGGTTGGCCTTGGTTTTGATAAATTTGAAACATTCGTGCGTAAAACGATTTAGTTGTCAAATGTTTTAGGTCATATTATTCAAGTAAACTTCAGATTTGAATGTAGTTACATTGATGAAATATAATAGTATTTTTATAAAATATTTTTATATAAGAGATAAACATAATCGTTCTAATTATTTTCATTCACTTAACGGAGAATCATCATATTTCTTTATTATGTTATCGAACTTTTTCGCGTATAGATCTGAAAGATAATTATATTTTATATTACATTAATTAAATATAATAACCTTGAGAGGATTGAATATCGTATATGAATTTTATTCGGTTAGTTTCGACCATGAAATGTTATAACAGATTATATAATATATTCTTTCCTCTGTGTATGCTCACTAGAATGAAATTATTCCGAACAAAAAACGTATATCGTTTCAGTATGGAAATGATTAGCGTGATTTGTATTATGCGACTAAAAACTGTCGAAGTATAAAGATTGAATAATCTTAATGTTTCTAATTTTTTGGTCTTCATAACGAGTCATTAATTTTCATCTTTTTTTTTTCACTCTATTCTTCGATTATTTCTTTCGAAAGAACAAAAAATAAATGTGCCCGTAAGATTTTATAGTTTTCGTAAAATATTACACATAGAACTGATATGATATATACATACATCATATACGAAATGCAATGGATAGGTATTTGTGTGTCACGTAACGTGATTCGTCACGCGAAGAGTTATGTTACGGATGTTGTAAAAGAGTCAAAAAAGAAATTGGCGAAACTGAAAAAAATTTCTTCATCTCTTTTATTCTTATATGTCTGTTATAGCAACGTGTCTATCGTTCGGGTTTATGATAGTAACAATAAAATAGAATAAGGGTAAAAGTAAAATCAAAATTATATATAAAATAGTGATAAATTTTGTATATATATATACATATAATATATATAACGTTAATTATAATATATATATAATATAATATATATATAACGTATATATATATATATATAATATACGTATATATATATATACGTATATTATTTTATTATTTAGAGAATTTTTATAAATATATAGAAAATTTTGAAAATGAAATTTAATTAAAAATTTTATTTATTACATGTAAAAAGTTTCTGTTTTCTAATTAGCTTTCTATATCAGATTAATAGTTTTTTTTTACTAATCTAATTTGAATCAAAAAATGTATACAGTGTGAAACCATTAATTATAATACAATTAGGAAAAGATTGATTCTTTTTCGGAAAATTATAGAATACAATTTCTTTTATATATGATTTTATTTTCAAGAAAATTGACTCTAAATATTAATGCAGTACAGGTTTATAGTAAGTCAGCTATAATTGAACGAATTTTGATAGATACCATATTTTGTTTACAAATAGTTTTAGTATTACCTATATATAATCTTGATTACTTAATAGTATCAATGAACTATTATCAAATATTTGTAAATGAGATATAGTCTATATTTGATTGATTTAGATGTACACGTTTTCGATTAATATTTATAGTCGATTTTTTTCGCTAAATATAAAAAGGAGAAAAAAAATGTTATTTTACAATTTCTGTTTATTTTGTCAAAAGGTATCAGCGATTATCGAGTCATTCTGTATGACAATATAGGACCTCAAATAATAATTGCAATCAAACATCAATTAATTTCAATTAACTCATTAAACGATAATAAATTCTATTTCAATCGAGACATTAATTCAATTGTAATTTTTCTTCCTGTAATAAAATTCTGATTAACTTTGAAACATCGCTGAAACTTTCTTCTTCGGTGTATAAATTTTTAATTAACTTTCCGGACGAAGATGGACAATTAAAGATGATACTACGAAATATGATGATTTCAAACGAAAGCGAAAGTTTTCTCTTTCCTTTTCATTATCATTTACAAGAAATGATTATGATTCATTATTCACACGATGAGCGAGAGATAAAAATCATACGAGTTGAGCAACCGTTTCTACTTTACTGTAGGATTTTATTTATCGACTTGTAATAATCGTACGAAGAATATCATTTTGAAAGTGATATGTATAAAATAAATCTACGCTTATTAGAATAATCTTTTTCTCATTTTTAGGATTAGTAAAAAAAAACAAAAAAAAATTGAAAGTGAAACGTCAAATTTTCATTCATATCTTTTAAAAAGTTACTGTACGACGTTAAAAAATAAAAAGAAGTTAGGATTTTTTTTTTTTTTTTTAATACCGAAGGATAGGTTTTCAAATAGAATTGAAATATTTTATTGAGTAATATGCAATTGTATTTACATTACGTCATTCAGCTATTAATTTAACGGCTTTCGGAGATTAGATATTTTTTTCTCTTGTTTTTTTTTTTTTAACGTTTATCATAGTAAATTTTATTCAAGGTTGTTTCTCTATTTAGAAATCTTGTTTCAGCTTTTATAAACTTATATCTATATACCATGTGTCTCTGTATATGTATATACCTTCTCATCTTCTTATCTATGATGCAAACTCTCTTCGGTTTCACGCTAGATTTGTTCAAAGTTCCTACGGCGTCGGATCTCTTCGATTTCAGCTTTATTCTACTTGAATAACGAAATCAAAATCTCTTCTTTGAAGGGAATTCTTTCGTGAGGAAAGAGATGACTTTTCTATCTCGAAATAAGTTACTTTTATGTGTTGAAGACTTTGTCGATTCTATCGATCTGTTGAAATACGATACAAATGTACACGAGAGCGAAAAATAAACGAGTATTCTCGGAGAAGAAGTTAATGACCTAACGCTTTTTAGAATCCAATTGGAAAAATCGCATCTTCGTAATTTTTTGTTTTTATTTATTTTTTTTTTTTCTTTTTTTCTTTCTTTCTTATCATTATACTAATCTCATCGAATATCATTACTTATTTCTGTGAGATATATTTTCATACATCCATTAGGAATTAAAATACTTTCATGTTAACATTTTAAATCTATTTAGATATATTATTTCAATCGTCGATTATCGGAGTCAAGTTTATATGAAGAAAAAAAATTATGTAAAATCATTTTCAAAGGAAATAAGGTTAGATAACATTTAAAAATTTTCGATCGAGATATCGAATAATAGTCGTACTAATTTAAAATAATTTTTTTTTTCATATTCGGTGAGTAGAAAATGACAATAAAGATGATTTTGTATTTCTATATAAATATTATTAAATATTTATTCGAGGTAAGAAAAGTACGTTTCGAAAGATCTTTATGATCTTTCCGATGGACGGATAGTTAAACGCTCGTACGTTTACAACTTTACACGAGGAGAACTCTACTCGAGTAGTCAATATGGCGGACGCCCGTTTAAATATTTGGCGCGAATTGAGGTACATAAAGAAGGGAAAAAGAAATAGAAAGAGAAAGAGAAAGAGAGAGAGAGAGAGAGAGAGAGAGAGAGAGAAAAAGAAAGAGATAGAAGATAATAATGTTTTTCAGGACGTTGCGGACTGATTAAAATTAAATAAACATTCTCTTAATTAATCGTCTAAAAATAATCGGTTTTCCTAGTCATAGTGATTGTAATAAGCTGGCGAAGAAACGTATTTGGCTATTGGTACAGGTTTTGGATGAATCGCTGGTCCAACCTTCTTCACTATCGCGTTAAATCCATTGTGATCATCTGCGGTATATTCAACGATTCTTACGCTTCCATCAGGCTCGTTCACGCTATAAGAACCGTGAACTACATCACCGTCACGGACCTCGTGTTGCGTCTTGACGTCGCCGGTGTGTGGATCGTGTACACCATAGTTGAAGGTGTATTTAGGGTGCGACTGAAACAAAACGTATTTGCGTAAGAACGTAATGTTGTTGCACTGGGTGCGCCAGTAACTCGATAGATCAAACGATTGATTTTTCCCCGATTTTAAACTTTTATTCTAACATTATTTAGCGTAACTTATAAATCTTGAAGATTATCGATGTCTACTACGTTAAATAATGAATGAATTTTTTTTTTTTTTTTTTTTTTTTTTTTTTTAATGATTCTTATCAATCACTCATTGATTTTAAATTTCAATGAACAAGCCAACGAATATTGATTCAGTCAATTTCATTTCTGAAATTTCTGTAATGCAATATCAATTAATGAATGAATCGTAACTAATTAATTAAATATTTATATTTAACCTCGAACTTCGTAATTTTAATTTCAACATTCACCTTCGACTGATATAATCTCTTAAGTGAAATTAATACAATGAGAACGAACGTTTTTAAAGAAGGAAAAATGATGAATGAATGAATGAAAATGTCGTGGGAAAAGTTTCTACGATATTTTTCAATGTATATAACAAGTCTATATAACAGAAAAAGCCGTAGCATCGCGTGTTACTCTCGAGACGATCGTTCGCCAACGTTGGGACGATATTTCGCTACTGGTATTCAATTAACATCGCGAGAAAGCGACGACAATGGGCGTCGCGGAACGTCGACATTAGAAATGAGATGCAGCACGGAAGGAGTTACAAAACAAGAGAGTCAGTCTGCCCAGTCTCTCACTCTCTATGTGTGTTCTTTTGGTGACACACTGAGGAATCTCTATTTAACATATGTGAAAACGCGCTTTTTAAAAGAGCATACAGACGACACGCAAACGTTATAAAAAGGTGATTCTTTGCTTCATTTGTTACATAGAGAGACAGAGA